CCCCCCCCCCCCGCCCTAGAAATACAGGTATTTACATGGCCATCTGTTCAAAACCTACACTGGCATGTGTGGGAGAGAAATCTTCCGCCACCAGATCATGTGACAACACAGGTCCAGGATGAGCATCCTTGGTCATCTTCCGGCTCTCACAGCTGACATTCCAATTCACAGCAGCTTTCTCCCAGCTCTGCCTTGGTCGTGATAGGGGATGCGCAGATGTCTGCTAGTTTGGCTGACTTCCCATTCACCAGTGGTTATCAGCTACCTGATTAATCAGTAGGCTCTCTTTGCAACCTGCTGTGCGCATTTGCAGGAACAGCCTACCTGGAGCCATCACAAGCCGACTCCCAGCTGACGAGAGATCAGCTGGAAGTCAGCTTCTGATCTCCTGTTGGCTTGGGGAGCAAAGGAGAGACACAAGCTCTTTCTCTCCTCTCCTTTGCAATGGAGAGCTCAAAAGCCCTGCTTCTGCTCCACCCTTCTCTCTTCTCTCCCTTTTGCAATGCAGAGATCTAAGGCATTGCTTCCATCCCTCACCAGCCTGGAGAGAAGGGAAAAGAAACCAGCTATTTCTCCTCTCCCTTTTGCAACTTCACTTTCTACCTATTTTGCTGAGGGTGGGGTGCTGGATTAGAATCCAACTCACATCTGATCCCTCCATCAGCTGTGATTTGGGTTCTGATGCAACAGTTAGCGTCCAACTTGTTTACCAGCTGTTCAGATTGCTCAGTTAAGCCTAACATATCCCTGATTGGCTTGCAGTCTGATCATGAGGGCTGAACAAGGCAAGTCCGACAGCTGAACAGGTTCACTGAGAGATTTTTGGCATCCCTAGTCGTGATACCATAAGATACTACGAGATTCAAAGCACTCATAAGAACATAAGAACACAAGAGAAGCCAATGCTGGATCAGGCCAATGGCTCATCCAGTCCAACACTCTTGTCACACAGTGGCCAAAAATACCAGGTGCCATCGGGAGGTCCACCAGTGGGGCCAGGACACCAGAAGCCCTCCCACTGTTCCCCCCCCCCCAAGCACCAAGAATACAGAGCATCACTTGCCCCAGACTGAGAGTTCCTATCTATACCTTGTGGCTAATTCAGCCACTCCTTCTGTCTCGTCCGTCCCCTCCCAGCTTGGGAGGACGGAAAGAGAACCTGCCACCAGAAAAGTTTCCATTAACATGTCCTGGGTGGCCTCTCTAAGCACATTCTTTCTCTTTCTCTCCATCTATGCTCCACCATCTGGTCAAACACATTTGCCACATTATACTCATTGGCCAGCTTACTTCCTTCTGTTACTATACAATTGCATGTGCTTTGAGACGGCATCTCCTCCCCCACCCCCAAGCTATGGTCAAGAGACCATGACACCTCAGACTTAACTTAAGCAGGGGAAACGTAGATCTCTTAAAAGTACAACTAAACATTATATGTTTATGGAAATATTTCTTATCTTGCTCTCTCACATTAAAATAACTAGCGGGCAAACCAGAAAAATCCAATAAAAACATAAATGATAAAACCAGTCATAAAACCATATTTCACAGTGATAGCCCTCATATGTGATTAAAATAATGGATGAGGAGGACAGACTTCACCCGATACCTAAAAGATGTTAGTGGTGATGGCCAGGTGAATCTGAGTACAGGTGAACTTTCACCATCAGGGCGCTGACTAGTGTTCCCTCTAAGCTGAGTTAGTGTGAGCTAGCTCAGTTTTTCAGCCTCCAGCTCACAGATTTTTGTCTTCGCTCGGGAAGGATGACTCCAGAGCCAACTAATTTATGCAGTAGCCAAATCGCTTGCTCACAAATTTCATGCCAGTAGCTCACAGAGTAGAATTTTTGCTCACAAGACTCCACAGCTTAGAGGGAACATTGGCGCCGACCCAGAGTCCTCTCTCCAGTAGCCAGCTGCCTACCTTCAGAAGGAAGAAGAATCTGGAGAAGAGTCTCTGGCACACATCTTAATCTGCAGGCAGGCACACATGGGCGTAAGTGGTCTTTAAGAACCTCTCATCCCAGAGTGCTTATTAGGGATGGGCATGAACCTAAACTGAATCCCAAACCAAACCAAAAATGCCCAAACCAGCCAGTTTGGGTCCCCCTTTCTCCTGCAGCCGGGAGGAAGGGGAGGGGGAATCATCCAGGAAGGGTAAAACGGCTGCCAACCATTTCAGTGGTCTGCTTCACTTCCCCCCACTTCCAAGAAGGGGGAAACAAAACCCACAGGTGAAATGGCTTGGAGCCATTTAAACCTAACAGATCAGCTGCAGACCCACACAATTATCCCCAGTTATCAATCTGGCTGCCATATTCTGGATCAGATGAAGTCTGTAAATTGACTTCAAGGGAAACCCCACAAGCAAAGTCTTACAGTAGTCAAGCTTGGGAATGGTCATATATTGATTTTGTTGTGTGGTCTCAAACAAATCCAAACTGAAACACCATTACCTGTTTAGGGATCTGTCCAAAGTTATTAATGAATCCTATGGTGGCTGTTTCTTTTAAGGGATCGTTTATGTTGTATATGTCCACTTGCCCCTCATAGAAAAGATGATGGAAGACATTGACAGCCTCTACGGCAGCAGGTCCTTGCTGTTTATAGCCAAAGATTAAGTCAATCCACTCATGTAGGTGTGCACTCACAAAATCGCATTCCAAAGCCTGTAATTTAAAATAGGTACGTTAAATCAAGCATTACCTGTTAGTGCTTTAGAGCAGGGTGGCTGAAACGCAGAATATCTTAATCAAATAGTACAAATTTCACAGCTGGTACTGGCTGGAATCCAAAATTGCCCTTGGGCAAACAGAACGAACTCCTGTGTGTGGGGAGGTGGAGCTAGGATGCAATTTCCCACTCAAGATGCAGATTACTGCACCAAGTCCCTAATCCTCAGAGAAGCCTGGCAGGGAGGCACAGGTAGCTGGGGGGGGGGGCATATTCTGTGCGTGGAGAGCCAATCAGTTTATTGGTCCAACTCACTGTAGCCAAGGCTAATACCAGGCAGAAAAGTACCATTATGTCTTTGCACAAATACAAACTCAAGATCTGGATCAAGGAATGTGATGAACAGGGTATATTACCTCCCGATGGACTCTGATAAATTCACGGGGATCGCCTTTAGCCCACGGGGGGAGTATTACATCCCCAAGTTTAGTGCCATTCTGCTTGCAACCTATAAAACAAAACACAGATTTTTAGTAAAGCAGAATTTGCTGCAATTATGGGCATGTCTGAATGGGACTCTGAACTATTGAGTATGCAGTTCAAGCAAGTATTCCATCTCTGATGTTAAGTCTTGTATGTATGCTCTCCTGTTAAAGTTGTATGATATATCATTATTAAACGCATGTAATGAAGTTATAACCATCTTTCAGCAACGTGTGAGTCAGAAAAGGAACAGTAATGAGATCAGAAGCAACTTTCCCCACCTAGATCAAAGTTGTTGGAATTGAGCAATAACTCTGGGAGGTAGAAAAATTCTGGGATGAGCTCCTTGACGTCCGCCATGTTGTGCTTGGATGCAGAGTACCAGGCCTCACGCACGCTGTGAAACATTCTATCAGCCAGGTCAAAGTGGCCGCCCTTTGGAACAAAAGGAGAAACAATTTCATTACACTGTGGGCACTGCCTGTGCCACTCATATGGGGCCGTGGCATGTTGAGAATTAGATATTTTGATGGAAAAATTATCAGGAATCCCATGCTTATTTGTTTCAAAGACTTCACTGAGGTCAGGCCATGGCTCAATGGTAGAGAACCTGCTTTGCATGCAGGAAGTCCCCAGTTAAATCCTTGGCATCTCCAGTTAAAACTCCCTGGTTCAGTTCTTGGCACCTCCAATAACACATGATGTGAAAGATCTCTAATCTAAGACCCTGTAGAGCTGCTACCAGTCAGGACAGACAATGCAGACCTTGGCTGACAAAAGGTCTGATACAGGGTTTGCCACCATTTTAAGTTAATTCATATAAGTTTGTCAAATCAGAATACTTCGCAACGCAGCATGCAAAAAGCCAAGAAAATGCATCTACTGAACTGTTCAAATGCTTTCCCAAAAGCTTATCGTCAGAGGTATTTGGTGTTTTAACGAAGATTGTAACTTTGATTTGGTTCAAACAAGAGGCTGCTACATAAGACCACCTTACCCCTGTAAGATCTCTACTGCTATTTTTATTATTAATTTATTTATTTATTTGTATTTATACCACCCCTTCCCACAAGCGGGCAACAACATTTCATTTATACAACATATATTTGATTAATACAATAAAATTTAAACATCATAATAAATATTAAAATGGTGGTCACAGCTGATAGCAAAAGAAAATTTCTCTGGCTGTGGGAGCTTCTCGGCCCATAATGAAATATAATAATGGTCAGCAGGAGGCCATATAGGGACATCCGCTGCCTCAGCCAAAAGCCTGGCGGAAGAGCTCCGTCTTGCAGGCCCTGTGGAATTGAAGAAGATCCCGCAGGACCCTGATCTCAACTGGGAGCATGTGCCAGCAGGCAGGGGCCAGGGCAGAGAAGGCCCTGGTCCTGGTTGAGGCAAGATGGATGGCTTTGGGCCCGGGACTACCAGGAGATGTTGATCCTACTGCTAATGCCATGCTTAAATGCCATGCTTAAATTCTATAAAGGTGGCCATGTTAGCCTGCTGCAGTAGCACCTTAAAGACTAACAAAATACGTGGCACTGCTCACTTCTTCAAGGACAATATGGCCTACTCAGACAGGCAGGGGCTCGCTAGGGTTTCAGTCAGAGGTCTTTCCCATCACTTACTCTTACTACCTGGTCCTTTCAACTAGAGAGGCCAGGAATTGCACTTGGGACCTTCAGGATATGAAGCAGATGCTCTTACCACTGAGCCACAGCCACTAACGTCACACAGTGGGTCTGACAGACAACGGGGGACAAAGGTTTCAAAAGTGCATGTCATACCTGCAGCCTTAAAAATATCTGTGTGAAGGGCTCCATTCGCACAAGATATGAAGCTACTATCATTGCGGATGAATAGTGTGTGCCATAATGATATGCTGGAGTTTCACCTGAAAGGGGGGGGAAAGGAATGCAGTAATTGAAAAGGAAATGCCCACAAATAAGGTCATACCCAATGAATTCATTTCTTTTTTAAAAGTGCAGAATTGTGACAATAAGACACTGAAAGCTAATTACATTTTTATTATTCAACACTGCAACCGCTTACATTTGGGAGCAATCCATTAACTGGTGATCAAGGAATTTGCCTAGCAAAGTAACAAATATAGCAACTCCTAGGACATTTTTATAAATTTTTCAAGCCGTACTTCAAATTAGCCACAGTGTGTTCCACTGAACACATGGCTTCCTTAGCACCTTTTATCATCTCTTTTGGTTTCTTTAGCATCTTTATCAAGTGATTTTGTGTTGAAACGTTTCCACAAATCGCTGGAAGCCACCAGGCTTCTACAGGTTTATTAAGTTAATTTACTGCAGAGGTTCCTCAACTGAATCATAAGACAGAACTCCTTAAGTAAACAATAAACCTGTTCTCATCTCCCCAGCTAGCAAAACAGAGACTGCCTGGGTTGGATGTGCAGCCGTGAGTAAATCAGATCAAAGGGGAAAAGCGACAGAGCAAGTTGGCCCAGGATAACAATAGCAGACAGCTGAATCACCAGAAATTGCTGCAGACTAAACGAATCAGCTGCAGCCCAGCTCATTATCAGCCTGTGACGCAGTTTAAGATCCCCGCAAAAAAGGAAGAGACTCAATTAAAAACAGAACAAAGGGCTGTCCCATTGGCTCTTAGATCTGCAAGAACAAGACAGTGGCGTGTCATAACACCTGAGGCCTACCAAGAAGGACATTTCTAAGCCTTCTTCGGGAGACCTGACTCACTCCTTACAGCAGCAGCCTACAGTGGGCAGCATGGTATCTACAAGGGAGTAACACCCAATTTCCAAGGTGTGTCAATCCAACGGTACCACAACTACTTATAGGTCAGGCTATCTTTTAAAGAAAAGGAGGAAGAGGAAAAGAGAGGGAGGCACAGATGGAATGGAAAGAATGAGCGCCTTTATTTTTCTGCAGAAGAATTAACTGCATATAAGGGAGTTTCTCTTGCCTAACAAGCCATGCCTGCTCAAATGCCACCTCCTTTACATGGCTTTTATGGGCAAAGGATCCCCACCCCCGCCCCATACCATCTATCTAGAAATGGACTAGGTGTTACATATAGTTAAACATATGTTTAACTAAAAGTGGTCCTTATGAGGCACAGAGCTTTGGGTTGCAAACTGATCCTGCACCTGAAAAGTTTTAAGGTCACTGATGTGGAGGAACGCAGACTCAGGACATCCTGCTCACTTTCTTAAGAATAGCAAAAATGAACCAAAAAAAAGGGCAGGGGAAAATTCAACTAAGAACCAGGTAACCAAAAAGGTTGGGGAAAGAAAGAAAATCCTCATCTATGGAAATATCCATGTCGAATACAAAAAAGGTTAAAATTATACACACATATGGGGAAGGTAACCTATGTAACCAAAATGGATGGATTTCGATGTAGTTTTTAAGATTTACAATCTGAAGTTTTTGTGAATTAATATAATTTTAGTTTTTCATAACTGACACTGATATGTCCATAGACAAGGTTTTTCTTCTTTCTCTCTCTCCCCCCCCCCATCTTTTCAGCTACCCACTCTCTAAGAATGCTTGAAGAAGCTAGAAGCTATATCATAGTTCAGGTGAGAATAACACACAAGGACAATTGTAGCTGCAGTTAACACAGTGCAGGGTGACATTCCACATTTCCTTTGGGAACAGAGGTGTATAGCTTAATAGGATACCTTCAGCTGAATACGGAAAATCTTTACCTAGTCCAATTTTCAAATACTCCACAACTGACAACTAACAATTCTTTGCCCATCTGTATGCAGGTACCCTGCATGCAGGTGCAATATATATCATATGCAGTCTTATAATAATTCTTTGCCCATCTGTATACAGGTACCCTGTATGCAGGTGGTCTATATATCACGTGCAATATATATCATATGCAGTCTTATAAATTTTTGCTATTTTACGCGGTGACAAATGCCATTGATATAGCATAGCCCTATGAGGAAAGGCTGAGGGAGTTGGGAATGTTTAGTCTGGACTACTCACTTCTCCCTAGAATGCCTGCGCAGTAAGAGAGATACTTGGCCTTGATACAGCTGCACAGATACATTAGGAAAAAGATTATGGGAAGGTAGTGGCAAAAGTCTTATCTTGTGCAGATACCGACACTGATCTCTCTTATGTGTATTGCATGCGTACGGGAGAACAGTTGAAGCTGAAAAGGTCCTCTGGCTAATGGCTATAGTAATTTGTAGGCTGTGTTCTAAGGTCTTTACAATCAAGGCAATTAGCCCTACACTATTAGGCAGAGTCACATCCTTCACACCCTTATGCACAATGGACTTACCATTAGGATCTTCCCAGTCTTTGTAGCGCTTCTTATACTGAGCTAACCTTTCCTCGGTCTGTGCTCCCATTGGTTTAGCCAGGGTTCTGAACGTCTTGGGATTGGTAAGGTCCAGCTCCTTTAAGCCAAGCAAAAAGGAAAGTCCATTCTCAAGAGCATTTTTCATTGATTCAAACTGTCCTAACAATGAAACATATTTGTGACTCACCTATTTACTACTTCTAGATCTTGACGTTTAAAAAAAACACCTTTGCGATCTAACTGCTCCAACAAACTAAGATAACCTCCCCCTATTGGGGCAGACATTTTAGTCTCACTGCTTACAAACCACTGCCAGTCTACCCAAGTCTCTGCCTTGAACTGCACATCCACATTTCACATCTAGGCACGATAACATTTAGACGGCCATCAGGAGCACGGTTCCTAATGCCTGCCAGTCTCCAAGCCCAATGGGAAGTGATTTGGAAAAATTCATCTCAAACGATGCAATAATTTCTTCATGATTACCTCACTTGGATCCAGTGTTCCCTCTAAGCTGAGTTAGTGTGAGCAAGTTCACAGTTTTTTAGCCTCCAGCTCACAGATTTTTGTCTTAGGAGGAGGAGGAGGAGAGGAGATTGGATTTATACCCCGCCCTACACTACCCGAAGGAGTCTCAGAGCAGCTTACAAACTCCTTTCCCTTCCCCTCCCCACAACAGACACCCTGTGAGGTGGGTGGGGCTGAGAGAACTCTGACACAAACTGCTCTTTTTCAAGGACAGCTGTGCCAGAGCCTGTGACTGACCCAAGGTCACATCAGGAGGTGCAGGTGGAGGAGTGGGGAATCAAACCCGGTTCTCCCAGATTAGAGTCCGCACACTTAACCACTACACCAAACTGGCTGGAAGGATGGCACTAGGGCAAACTAATGTATGCAGTAGCCAAATCGCTCGCTCACAACTGTAATGACAGTACCTCACAAAGTAGAATTTTTGCTCACAAGACTCCACAGCTTAGAGGGAGCATTGTTTGGATCCACCGGCCCCTTCAAAGAGCTTATATCATGAATGTATGAATGAACTTCTCATCTAGTCAAATAAACTTAAATAAATAATTAAAAATAAATCTAGTCAAATGTTAAGCCTCTAATTTCAACATATAATTCGACATCAGTGGTGTTAAGAGACTTCTCAAAACAAAATGGAGGTCAGGGCTGATTTTTAGATTTTACTTTTATATATTATATTATTATATTATATTATTAGATGTTAGCATCATGCTTTTAGCCAACTAATTAAGCATTTTTCCAGGCCTAATTTGGGCTAGTTTTAAATGCTGGAATTTTAGTCTTCCCAAAAACAGATTTTATAAATGCCGAACCTTACTGACAAGATCAAGTATAAAAACAGATAATTTTGTGTTTACCTCTGAATCATAGTCTGCAAGAATCCACGGGAAAACAGGATACTGCATGAGGTCATTATAGGATCGGCCAGCCAAAGTGTTTAAATGCATCAAGTACTGGAAATTACTGATTTCACCTCTCTTTGTAGAGATTTAAAAAAGAAGAAAACAAAAACAGCATTTCAATTCATTTTCTAATAAGGAAACTTACAATGTCTAAATCGTTATTATTTTAAAGTGCTCTGGTGAGGCTGCTTTCCGGTCTATCTAATTTTTAGGAAGTTGTCTACTTCTTAACAAAATATGGAAACCAGAAATGTGGCAGAGCATTTGGACACAAGAATTCATGCACACATACTCTACTTCTCCTACCTAGGAAACTAAGATACGTCTTCTACTTACCTCCCACCTTTGTGTGACAGATTTCTCTCCAACTAGGGTGCTCAGCAAGCCAGACCTAAGAAAAATGAGAAAGAGTAAGTATTTCCGCAATAGATACATGCAAGTTAATATATGTAAAGTGGTTTTTTCCTTCATTTTAATCCATTAAATTACAGCTGTTACTGTATTTATGTTCCCTAAAGATACATCACACCAATTTATTGTAACACCAGGACTACATATGTACGTTAACAAAGGATACTATCATCAATTCCACAAATAAGAAGGGTACATCTGCCCATCAATATCTGTTTTTGATATATTTACTTCCTTCACTGTTTTCCCCTGGAATGAAACTGTGTTTAATCTGTTATTGTATCCTAATAAAATGTTTTGGGGGGAAAATTACAGCTGTTACTGTATCTATGTTCCCTAAAGATATATTACACCAATTTATTGTAACACCAGCACTACATATGTACGTTAACAAAGGATACTATCATCATTCCACAAATAAGAAGGGTACATCTGCCCATCAATATCAGTTTTTGATATATTTACTTCCTTCACTGTTTTCCCCTGGAATGAAACCCAAACAAATGGTGACCATATAAACCAAGCTTGTTATTCCAGTTTGGTCCTTGCATCTGTCAAACACCTTTTATTATGCTTATGCTAATTTGCTGCTCACCCTCTACCTGTATGTATGGACTGGCAACTTCCATTTCAATGTATCTGAAGAACTGTGTGCGTGCACACGAGAGCTTACACCCTGAATAAAACTTTGTTGGTCTTCAAGGTGCCACTGGATTCGAACTTTTTTCAACAAAGAATGCGTCACTATACAAATCTATTAAACCATATCCTTCATAGTTAACATATTCACTTCCGAATCTAGATGCTCCAATGCCCCCCATGGGGCTCCCATACAAACAGGGGTTCTCCATTTGTTTCAGTGAGCGTCACTGTAGAGCAGCAGAAAAAGTTTGGTAAGGGGAAACCCATATCCAAATCTTCATCTAGCCATTAAAGAAACTCACTTTGAAAAAGCAACGTCCTTCCAGGTGCTTTGCAAATGAGGCCATGCTTGTGTGGATTTCCCATTGTTGCTGCAGTTGCTGTTACAGCGCCGCAGCAAGGAGGCTTCCACACGTCTGGTTTCCCCGCAGCGTCCCTGCATCAGTCCCCCAGCAGCGACCATTCCCCCACCAGGTTCTCTGAATTCCCAGCATTCTTTTTTTTTTTTAAAGTAAGCCTCTAATTACTTTAATTGCAAAGATACACTTTCCCCCTTATATCTCTGCAACAAAAAGGGGTAGACTTACTCTTAAAAAAAATGAAATCTGAGAATTCAGAGAACCTAATTGCCGAGTGAAAAACAAAAGACGTAACTAGGCGGCTGGGAGAGGAAATGTCTGCCTTGGGGAGAAGAGCAGAGAAAAACTCAAATTTTCTCATCAGCATCACAGCCATCCAGGCTTTGCTGTAATCTTTCCCAAAACTGGAGAAAAGACTGGAGAAAAGTTGGAGGAAACCTGGGAGGTGCATCAAATGCTGTGGAAAAGCAGAAAAAAGCAAAACAAAACCCACTTCCCAATAGCATCGAACTTGGGGAAAATAAGCCATGGGAAAAAGGCCTTACTACCATCAAAGGCCTGTTGGAGAAAACAGCTAGGTAACGTCATAAATGCCCTTCCCTTCGTTCACTGAGCAGGGAAACACGTGGCTAGAAAGGAGGAGGAGGAGGAAGAAGAAGACGAAGAAGAAGAGTTGGATTTATACCCTGCCCTTCACTCAGAGTCTCAGAGTAGCTTACAGTCTCCTTCCCTTCCTCTCCCCACAACAGACACCCTGTGAGGTAGGTGGGGCTGAGAGAGCTCTCTCGAGAACTGTGCTTGAGAGAACAGCTCTGAAAGAACTTATGACTGACCCAAGGTCACCCAGCTGGCTGCAAGTGAAGGAGTGGGGAGTAAATCGAGTTCTCCAAATTAGAACCCGCTGCTCAGACCACTACAGCTGCCCTGAGCCCGTTGGGGAGGGCGGGGTACAAATCTAATAAATAAATAAATAAATAAACCAAATTGGCCCTCAATTATTTCTTCATGCGACCACCAAAGGCATGGAGGAATTCTGCTGTTTCACTGTTTTCCTTGGCTTTTGCATTTTTCATTGTTTGTTTTAATATTTTAAATAAATGATGAGTGCACCGACAGAAAGGCAATATTTAAAATATAGTTGAAAACAGAAGCAGCACATCTGGAGTCATTCTCAATACTGAACAGAACGGGGGAGTCCCTCCTTATTCGGTGGTTCCTTCTGAATACTGGAACTCTCTGGAGCTTTGCAACAGGGCCCCAGGCTTTTTAAATTTATGGGAATCCCTTTTCCAGGAGCGCTGTCCAAAATTAATATATTCCTTCTGTAAAGGAACAGCACAACCAACAGACCTCGAGGAGATTGTGACAAATTAGAATTGTATGTATATTTCTGCTTTCCTTATTCTTCAACTCCCCTTTATTTACTACTCAGGGAAATACATGTTTTATATGTGGGCTCAACATTTTCAATATTTGGATAAAGCAGATGACCGATTAGAACAGTTATTCACTTCCAAACCCAATGCATAAAATGAAGCACAAATGCTCACCCCTGTTCTACACTGGTGTTGGGTCGCTGTCCGGACACAGATTCTGAGCTGTCGGTTAAAGATGGAACGACAGCCAAAAACCTTTTCAAAAATTAAGAGCATAACGGTAAGAGGGGAAAAAAAATACATGTTCCAATTAGACTCTGACTGTGTTCAGACATCAGAAAAGCATCAATTGAACTCCAACCGCGCATCAGTACAGTTTCTGCTGTGCTTATGCATACGTTGTGCCCCATCCCCTAGTCTGATCAAGGCTGCGGCTGAGTGACACAGCATCGTCTTGGCATGCAGAAGGTCCCAGGTTCAATCCTTGGCATCTCCAGTTAAATGGATCCGGTAGGAGGTGACCTTTACCTGAGATCCTGAGAAAGCCACTGCCAGCAGGCAAGCAGGGTGGGACCTAGCGGCAGCAGGGTAAGCCTACACCAGCACATCTGCATAATTGCCAGCAACATGGTGACAACGCTGAGATACTGGCGTAGGCCTCCTCTGCTGCTGCTGGTAAATCCCCACTGACAGGCAGCTGATTGGCAGCGGGGGGCAGTTGGGGGACAGTTTTTGCACACAGGACACCACAGCTTAGGGAGAACATATCCCACATCTCTGGTCGGTGCTGGAAGAAGGAGGGTGGCCACCAGCCAGCAAGGAACAGATGATATGTCTGAGAAACTCCTTATCCTTGAAGCATGGACGGCTTCAAAAGGGAATTAGATAAACACATGGAGCAGAGGTCCATCAGTGGCTATTAGCCACAAGGTATAGATAGGGACTCTGGGCCAAGCGATGCTCCGTCTTCTTGGTGCTTGGGGGGGTCAACAGTGGGAGGGCTTCTAATGTCCTGGCCCCACTGGTGGACCTCCTGATGGCACTGGTATTTCTGGCCACTGTGTGACACAGAGTGTTGGACTGGATGGGCCTTTGGCCTGATCCAGCATTGGCATCTCTTAAGTTCTTATGACACCCCCCCACCTCCAGTACGAATACAGCAATCCTAGTCAGAGTCGATGACACTGACCTTTATGGATCAATGTACTGATTCGGTATGAAGGCAACTTCACGTGCTCAAGCCTCAGTATGCTGAGATGCTCCAATGAGGGCTCCTTGGTAAACTGGAGTTTGCTTTCCCCCACAGAATTCCAAACCTGGGTTAAATCTCAGTCTAGAATCCCAGACTGTGTGGCGTAAACAAGCTCCAATTCACTGAGACTCCTGTATTTGGGTATCCCATTGAATTGGAGCTTGATCGCGTCACTGTGTTTATTTATTTTAATCATTTTACCCCACCTTCTTGGCTCAAGGCAGTATTTGCATCAAGATTCATATCAAACACTGTGGCATAAAGCAGACAAGGAGCAAGTGGCAAATGCGAGTACAGCGGGCATTTATGCCACAATGGCGTTTAACCGCAGGGTGCTATGAGATCTGAATGTAGTCTAATATGGCGGCTACTGCCAATTACTTAACGCATAGATTAGATCATTGTTCCTGTTTTCATTTGTTACATATATACTTTGTACTGCAAAAAAAGCAGTAAAATGTACACTTCAGTCATAAGATCTGGTGTTATCTAAACAGGGGGAGAGGCATGTGACCTGCTCATTACAAGTGAGAAACAAGTGCACATTTACTGAGAACACCTCAGGCTTTTCCACATTCCTGTTTTCCTTGTTTGTGTGTTCCTGCTGCTTCCGAGGGGGTGGTGGTGGTGGTTTCCAATTCCACAAGTGTTTTGCTCCGTCTAGTGGTTGATTTGATATTAGATCATTTTTTGGGTCCAGTATAAAAAACTTCAGCTAAAATTCAGTTTAAAGCCGGACATAAACCAATATCAAATTAACCACTACAGGGAGCAAAACACGTGCAGAACAGGAAAAAAAAACCCCCAAGCAATGGGAACACACAAAAGAGGAAAACGAGAATATGGAAAAGCACCTAGCCTACCCCATCCCACCCCCAACGTCTTCAGTCGGCCTAGACTAGAGCTTTTACTACCTGGAATAATACCCTCTGGAAAATATTTATATGCCTGATTACAGGGTTGGGGCTTAAACAGACTTTGCAATGGTTGGAGCAAACCATTATCTATTACTACCTTTTGCTGTCTATATTTGTATTCACTTACTGATCCATGGAAGGACCTATTATTTTAGGCCCTGTCTGCTGTGCTTCCTAGCCTGTTTGGGTTTTTTTGTCAGAATCGATACAATATTTACTGGGGGACAACTGTAAACCAGTTTATAATACCTTTGGTAGACTTTATTTCTAACTCCTTTCTGAAAAGCAAGAAGGTAGTTGCGTCCATCTCCCGAGAACACTTCAACAGCTATCGGCTGCAATGAAATAGCAAGTTATTAAAAAAGTTGTCGACAGCAAATTAGAAGGACTGCTGTGGGCTCCTACGGGGCCCAGAAGACTTTCTATTTTTTTTAATCTGTGGGATCGATTTGTGGCCTTCTTTGCTTGAACAATAGAATAGGTTTTTTCAATTATCTCTATTACCTCTGCCAATCTTTTTTATAAGAATGAAATTCACCGACTTCCAAATATACATATGTAAAATGCCGTCCGGATCACGTCTCATCTTCAACTGAATGAAACCCTTGTCAGCAGCGAATGTGTGTGAATTAAGATGTATATATGTTGTCCTCCCCTACCCCACAAAATCATTGTTAGTCCCTCGTAATATTGAGTAACTGTAAATCGCTCAGAGCCAGCAAGCTCTGCAGGATTGAGCGATCAATAAATTGAAAGATTATGATTATTATTATGATTCAAATATATAGATATCTATGTGTAGTAGCTTCTTCCACTTGAAGCACACAGGAAGGTGATTCCCAATGCCCAGATATTAAAAACTGCTTTCCCCAATAGAAAAATACAACAACAGTGACATCACCTGTAACAGATACCGTCTTTTGTGCACCTCCTTGATATCTTCATATGCAAAAATACTGCATGTTCTTTTCAGTTGACTCGGGCCCTGTCGTGCTCCCCTGGGTATAATGGGCTCATGCATACTGTAGAGAAGAGGATAAAATAAACATATATAATCTATGGGGATTTTCATTGTTACGAGTACAATTCAGGCACATCCTATGGTTGCCAATTCTGAGCTGGGAAATTCCTGGAGATTTAGGAGTGGAGCCTGGGTATAGTGCCATAAAGGGCAAGGTATAGTGCCATAAAGGACATCTTCTAAAGATGCCATTTTCTCCAGGGGAGCTGATCTCTAAAGTCTGGAGATAATTCTGGGAGATTTCCAGGCCCATTTGGAGGCTGGCAACCTTTCTATTACAGAGCTGGAACAGAAGTACACCACGGGCTGAGTAAAAATGTAAACCAAAGATTCTATGAAGCAATTCTAGTTTTTCTCACTAGTCTTTTACGGTCACGTTCATTATATTACCTTTAACCACAATGCTCAGTACGTTGCCATAATCATGCTATTGTAATTGGGACTAAGATCTGATGTCACATTGTTCTGCTTAGGTGCAATTTTGTCTTTCAGGCTGCAGCAACAGTAGGAATTGGAGATTTCTCATGTCTTTGATATCGTCTGATTTTCACAGACATTTTTTCTCTCCTGCCTTTTAAATAGGTTTGTCACCTCTTGACTAATCTACTCACTTTGGAGGCAGGGTCTCAATGTCCCGTATTTCCCTGGTGGCAGTCATTGTAAATCCGTCGATCACATAGAAGTGCTCTTTACCAAACAGAAGGAGCCCCTCACTGGTGTCTAAGCCTTGAACTCGTGCACAGCGGTACATGTGTTGAATCTGTAATAAAATCCACATAATTAAATAAACACATACTATTCCTTCATTAAAATTAAGTACTTAATAATAAGGGAGAACCCAAGCAATACCATTGGGACCTTGGACAAACCCCATGTTATGTGTGTGTGTGTGTGTTGCTTTTTAAACACAAAGAAAAAAAAATGCTAAACAAATTCAATTGCAACCCTCCCATTAAAAAGGTTTACATATAAGTTATGTCTATTTACCTCTGTGCTCTGATAAAGGGAAAAGATTAAACCACAGAAGCAAAAGATCTTATTTATGCCTTCCAAACAAACAAACACAAAAATGAAAAGGAAAGTAATTCTTCCAGTTCATGGAACACCTTTTCCGATTGTGACTTTCTTTTGTCAGCAGCACTGGGAGCTCTGCCTTTCATGTCACAAGGAACTTGGAAGCCACAATGACACTAACCAAGGTTGAATACAAAAGACAGCCAGTCACCGCAAGAGATCTATTTATAATATGCTTAATCTGACAGTCAAGAAGAGTCAACAGAATCTGAAGACTCTTTTTCCTCATCAGTGTCATGCTGATTCCTAGGAACCTACAATGCAAAGTCTTACCAAATTTTCATCTGCAATTCAAAGGAACTGAAAACTGATATAAATTACATTTGATTATCTGAAAACTGGTAATCTCCCTCCCATGTGTTTCCCCCTATGCCTGTAGATAAATAAACTGTGTAAAAGCTCATAAATAATGTTCATTTATAATAATACTTAAAAAATTAATCTCAGCACAGTCACACACATAACACAGAGGATTCGATTGTGAGAATGAGCTTTAGATAACAGCATGATAATAAATCAAAGTAGAGGATTAAACGTATCTTGATTCTTTCCATGCACTCAAAAGCTACCAAATTCATGGACTTTTTCAAATGGATTAAAGAACCTGTATGGGGACTGAATAAAAGAGCCTGCCAAGAAATGGATTTGGAGGCTGAATCTCAACTTGGGGCTGAATGATGGTTTATAATCATCATTATCTTTCTTATGAATTCTTAAAACGATGCACAATCTCAAAAGAAAAATTCAAATATGATTCAATACAGAAACAGCATTAAAGGAAATTAAAAAAAGAGACACTATATTTAAAAGCTTGCCCATCTAGCATTTTAATCAGCTAGTGTGGTGTAGTGGCTTTAAGAGCGGCAGACTAATCTGGAGAACTGTGTTTGATTCCCCACTCCTCCACATAAAGCCTGCTGAGTGACCTTGGGTCAGTCCCAGTTCTCTCAGGGCTCTCTCAGCCCCACCCACCTCACAAGGTAACTGTTGTGGGGAGAGGAAGGGAAGGTGATTGTAAGCCACTTTGGGACTCCTTAGGGTAGAGAAAAGTGGGGTATACAAAGCAACTCTTCTTTTTCTACCTGATTCAGCTAGTGTACTAGTAAGCAGTGTTCCCTCTAAGATGAGTTAATGTGAGCTAGCTCACAGTTTTTTAGCCTCTGGCTCACACATTTTTGTCTTAGCTCAGGAAGGATGGCTCCAGAGCAAACTAATTTATGCAGCAGCCAAATCACCTGCTCCCAACTTTAATGGCAGTAGCTCACAAAGTAGAATTTTTGCTCACAGGACTCCATAGCTTAGAGGGAGTTTTGCTAGTAAGGTAGGCTACTGTGCAGTGGGCTGCCTTGGGAAGCAAGTCCTATGTAAGTAGAGCCACCATATTCCCGCTGGATTAACGTTACAGCAGCACAAATGGAAACATACAAGTTAAGGAAGAATACTTTCATATAAATTGATACACACTTTACTAGTCACATTACCCTTTAAACTAAACTTACCATAAAATTGGATTTATATGAAAGCTTACACACACAGTAAGAAACAATATACCTTTCCTGAGGTGTTTACAGAGATACAGGAACTCGACTGAGGGGTGAATAATCTTAAACATTAATCTTTCTAATCCGCAGCCCTGGCACTGTATATTCTGAATGTCTTCAGTAGCACAAATCTTGGCCATCACTTTCTATAAAACTATCACTTGGCTGTAAGGGACAATGAGCCCTGACCTGGATAGCCCAGGCTAGGCCGATTTCTTCGGATCTTGGAAAGTAAGCAGGGTCGGCCTTGGGTTAGTACTTGGATGGGAGAATGCCAAGGAAGTCCAGGGTCTCTACGCAGAGGCAAGCAATGGCAAACCACCTCTGAATGTCTCTCTGCCTTGAAAACCCCGTGAGAGGCTGCCATGAATTGGCTGTGACTTGATGGCAAAAAAAAAGGGGGACCGCAAAAGCTTTCCATTCAGTGATTTAATGAGGGCTTTTTTTGTAGAAAAAGCCCAGCAGGAACTCATTAGCATGACACTCAATCTTCAATTTCCCTCTCCCTGCCCCAGCTCTCTGGCGCGCGCTTCGTCGTAGCCCTGCGCTTTCCATTCCCTCTAGCTAGCACCCTCGCGGGGACAGCCCCGCTGGCGAGACGCTTTTGCCCCTAACAAGCACGGGGGAATCTATTATTGCGCTGGAGTGCCAGGCAGCGGAAGAGTGATGGGGTGGTGGAAGGAAAGCGCCACTGAGCTCCGGCCGGTAAGCGAGTGCAGCCCATCGTCTGCCAGCCAGGGGGCGGGGTCCGGTCCCCGTAGGTATTTTTCTTTTTAAAAGGTTTTAATTAAGAAGAACTTCGATTGGTGCTTAATTTCGGGAAAGACCGTCTCTTTCCCCCGCCCTCGATAAGCTCTCTCTGGAAGTCAAGCCATCTGAGCAATCTGAATCATGTGGCAACAGTAGGGAAAGCAGAGGCACTTTGCTTTATAATTTCCTCCCGTGTCCACCGGACCGGGCACTGAAAGAAGATTCTGGGACCGAGTCCTTCTAGCACAAAGTTCTCTATTTTGAGAAAGGAGGGAGGTGAAACATGCTCTCAAAATACTAACAGAGCAGGCCTAAACAGGCCCCGCCCCGGCTGACCCTCGCCGCAGCGGCAGCCCCAAGACTGCGTGACCTGGCTGGAGAGAGCCTGCCCTTTGCCTGGATAAGTGCCTTCCCCCCGGCTTCCCGCCGAGGCAGCGTGCCTGGCGCCTGGTATATTTCCGGGCTTCGGACTCATCGTAGAACTGGAGAAGGAAACAGAATGGGAGAAAGGAATTGTTGGAAGAATACATGAATTGTCTAGCTAAACCAAGGGGGGTAGTCGTGTTAATCTGTCTGTCGCAGCAGAAAAGAGCAAAAGTCCAGGAGCACCTTAAAGACGAACAAAATTTGTGGCAGGGCAGGAGCTTTCGT